CACCAACTCTGTGTCATTGCTAGTGACCGGGGTCACACTTCTTTACCTCGATGAGCTTGAACTTCAGGCTTTACCATCATCCCAGCCTTCCTTTCCACCTCTGTGGACACACTGCTGAGCACGCAGGTTGGGCGGTGCCATATGACTCAGGTATGCGCTATCTTAGAATCTTACACCGCTAGCCATTTAGAACAGTAAAGCCCTGAGTGTCTGTACGTCAGACTTCTGGCCTCTGTCCCCTCCCACACAGCTGTGAACCCTGAAGTATGTGGGAAGCAGGGAGTGGGGAAAGCCCTGTGACGGCTGAAATTACTTACTGCCTCCAAGTCCGGGAACTCTGTGCATTTAGTCAGGGCTCTACTCAGAGTCATGGCTCTCGTTGGAGGCTCATTAAAATTGGCTGCGTTATCTGGTTCTCTCCTGGAAAGAAGATACAAGTTGATTTAAAAAAAAAAAAGATGGAGACAGGCGTGCTGATGCTAGCTGGAAGGGACCACAACATGCTATCCCAGGAACAAAGAGAGAACTTAAAAAGTAGACCCAGGGTAAAGTCAAGTGCAGCAAAGTACTAAGTGCTGGGTCAACGTGCCAGCAGGCTGCTATGTATATCCCAGAAGGCCTTTGGGTGGCCCCGTGTGAGCACATAACAATAGTAACGTGAGTCATGATGATCACTGGCCACCAAAGATAAGTTAAATCATTCCATTTATTTAAGAAAGGGAAACGTTTAACCTAAATCTAATGTAACTAATATAATATATACCATCTATACTTAAATTTTCATAAAGGAGAGAAAGTTTAAGATTTTTAAAAAGACTTCACTCAAAATTACTTTTACAAAGATGGGTCCATGCAGAAAGCAAGTTTTCATTTTCTGGGCATTATACATGGTTTTTTTGGCCATTGCCAGAGCAAAACTTTGCTTATGACAAAAAAAAATGTTTTGCTCAAATTGGTCGCCTACTCTCTTTGCCTAATCTGATTCCGTATGTTTTTTTCCTATTTCCCATAATTAAATTATTCCTTAAGAGATAATGCCTTGTATTTGTTGATTACTTTTGGTCCTCCATTGAAGAGATAAGTGCATACTTTTGAAAGTTATTCATGATAGTTTTGTTTCAGAGACAGTAAAAGATATTACAGCAAAATTGATAGCCATTCTCTACCACCTAGCATTCTCCTGTCTAAACGATAATGCTGCATTTCTGGTTTTCTAGTCTCCACTTTCTGTGTTGTTGTTTCTCCAAAATCATGAAAAGTGCGGAGTGAAGAGTTTCGTATGATTAATCAAATTATCATATGATTTGGTTTTGTTCGTATTTTCCTTCTGCCACCTAGATTGCTGATGGCAGGTTGCAGTAAGTCTATCAAAAATGTCATCCTAAAATTCTTACTTCCCTTTTTAGTTCTTGAGTAGGGTGAAGTGTTGACTAACACACGCCCCGGCCATCACCTTTGCGTGCCTGCAGCCACATTAAAAAGAAGGCGTCTTTGTGAACCGTCCATGGGAGCTACGTCTATTCTGCATGCTATCCGTAGACCTCCCCCAAACAGGAGTTAAAACTCAAGTGTAGGCAAAATTTGGAAGCCAGGGGCTGTCTTCTTCAAACCAACTATGTGTTCCTCCTCCTCCACGTGAACAGAATGTTGTATTCCTTTATAAATGAAGTATTGCCCCTCCTTTCCAAACAGAACGTATTGGTCATTTCTGTTGATTATTTGAAATGTCATCACCACCCATTTCTTTTCACTTAAAGCCTTTGATGTCTGGTTGTGAGATGAACATCTTTTTCCTGCTCCGTTTAAGAAGCTGTGGGCATTGGCGAATGAGGGATGAGGCGGGAAGGGAAGAGGATGGAACACAGACAAGTGGTTACTCAACAGGCCTGAGCCGGCAGCTGACAAGCCCAGATGGAGAGGCCAAGCAGGAGAGGCTGGGATGGACGGCTGGCTCGGGTCCCCCACCCCGGCTTCTCCCTCAATATTTTGCACTTCTGCCGACTCTGGCAATGTGCCTCACCTCTGGGGGCCCATTCTTTTTTCCCTGCCTAAAGTATGGAAAAAATGTCTTGTTGTCAGAGTTTTGTTGAAATGAAATTGGCATTTGGAGGAAGCAACATTTGTTTAGGAGGGGCGGGGCTCACAAAGCGCCGAAGTGAGTGATTCTTTGTGGTGTGGGATCGTGACCCCTGTGTTTACAGTCTTACTGTGAAGTGGGGAGGGTGAGGAAGTGCGGTTGTCTGGGGGCTCAGTGTGGCCCCCCCCAAGTCCGGGTACCAGAGTGCTTGTTCCTCCGAGTGCAGCCCACAGGCTGCCTACATCAGATTATTCTGGGTGCTGCTTATAAATGTATTTCCAAGGGACGGAACCAACATACAGAAGAGTAGGCTGGGGAACTGTATTTTAAAGAATGATTTTTTTAATTGATGTTGTCAGAGAGAGAAGAGGGGGGAGAGAGAAAGAAACATCAGTTGGTTGTTCCACTTAGTGATGCATTCATTGGTTGATTCTTGTACGAGCCCTGACCAGGGATCGAACTGGCAACCTTGGTGTTACTGGGACGATGCTCTCATCAACTGAGCTACCCAGCCAGGGCCCTGCGGAACTGCATTTTAGTAAATTCGCAATGTCTCCTCTCCTAAATTTGAAGAGTAACTGCTTGAGACTCTGATGCTCAGACTTCCCAGCTCCCCAGATCACGTGTGTACCTGGAGGCGTTCTGGCTGCAGGGACGGACCAGCCGCCCTACGTGTAAGCAACTGAATCAGAAACCAGGAAGCCAGCTGGAATATTGGCCTCTTAGTAGTGAGGGGATCCTATGGAAGCTCTTCAAACATTGGCCTTTGTTCTTATTATTCCATATACTGTACTCCGCTTCCACCCTCAGTACCATTCCCCCTTTCAAGAAACATATGAAAAATTAAAATTTATTTTTGAAACAAAGCTTGGCTGTCCACATGCTCCAGAAAGCTCCCCATAAAGCCCTGCACAGCACCCAGTCACCTCCTCTGGGACACAGCTGGACCTCTACAAACCGAGGCAGTTGTGCCCAGCGCGTCATTGCAATCTACCTGCTCATGTGTGTGTCTCCTGTAAGACGGTGAGTTTGTTTGTCCTTATAAAATTGAGCCGATCCCAGGACCCGACCTGGAGTTGCTTCTCCATAAGTGATTGTCAAATAAATAGATGAGCTCAAAGATCTTGTGAGGGCTCGTTGATGCACCTTCTTTCAAGTCGCCGTCACCTCTGCTGCACGGAACGGCTGCATTTGTTTTTGTGTAGAATGATTATGTGTTAGCCTCGGCTTTCTGTCACCCTTACAAAAATGTACAATGAGAACAAGGTAAATAAGATTGTGAGAAAATTAAGATGCTTTGGCGATGTAAATACTTGTGAAGTACATATTTATTAGTGTCACAAAACACTTTAAAGTGCTCCAAGTAAATTTAAGAGGAGATCTACTGGATTTTGGCTAAGTGCTTAAAAAAAGAAATTTCCTTAATTCCCTGTCCAAATCCTGCAATTTAAATTTACCGATAGTTGTTTTAGGGAAAATGGGGATTCTGCGATCCTTGGTTTGTTATAAAGAAAATATTTTTGTCTTCAAATGTTTGGAGGGAGGGTTAAAGGCAATTTATGGCCTGGGTAGAAAGTAATAAACTTGTTAACAATGGAGTGTCTTCCCAATTGTCATCATTTTCGGGAATTACTAACAATATCAATCTTGTGGTCATTTTACGTCTTAAAGGAATTGCTTTCATTTGTCACACTTTAAGGTTATAACATCAACCTAGTAGCTACTGTATTGGATTAATTGTTCCATTGTAGTGTTTAAAAACAGGGATTCAGTCAGCTATGTAGGAAATGAATTCTTTCATTAACTCTTTTGCCACAGGGCTCGAGAAATAGATTTATAATTTATTTCTTTGAGGAAATAGGCTTCAGGATCTACATACAAAGTCTTTTATGAAGATGTCATGGCCTATTTACATTCTTCAAATACTCCATGTTTACTTCCCAAGGGAAATCATAGCAACAAAATATAATTAACCTGGCAGATTGCCTTCCTTCTTATGGTACCTCCTTTTATTAGTAGAATTCCAGTTTGTAGATTTCTTATGATATATTTAAACTAATCATGTTTATAATATTTTAAATTTTAGAAAAAAGTTTTTAAGTCATTTGTTATCTCTTCAACAACTCGGTGTAGTAATAATGGTAATACTATTATATATTATTGATCCCTTTTACTGCCTGAGGGCATACAAGGATCAGTAGCATTAGGATGTTACCCAATATCATGTAGCAAAGCCAGAACTTACTGCAGATTTTAATCTCCAAATGATAACCTCTTTTAGCTCTACCTTTGGCAGATTCCATATTGTTTTCCTTAGAGTGTGTGTTTAAAAAGAAACCCTAATAGTATTAAAATGTTATTATTGCTCACTCTCTATTTTGTTTGTAATTGAATGATTGGTTCCCATGCTTGATGAAGTTTAATTTTTTAAAAACTGTCCAAATATTTGTTGGAGATGACTTTCATGCTTGCAGTGTGATGTGGAAAATGAATCTGAAATCATATTAAATAAGCATTTTAGTTTTCTATGTGATGCCGTTAATTTAACCATTTTAATGCTTCTGATTTGTATTATAGTGCCAGTTCTATTTATGTAATAGAGCCAATCCGAGTATGCTCACCTGTAAATGGGGAATATTTCTTTATTTTCTTGAATATAAGACTCCTTTAATATTTTTTATATTAATCTGTGGTGTATCATTCCATTCTACATCCTTCTATTTTAAGTCAAGAACCCCTGGATAAATTTCCCATTGGTCTAACATTCCGTGTTTTAATATCAAATGTCAGATAACATTACTCTGTATTATTTTCTCCAGTAAATTAAATCCCTATGAGTTGATGCCCACTCACTGACTGCAGGGTGGGCTGATGTGATCTACGTGGGTCTTTGTTCAGATGCATGTGTTTTCTCCCCGCCCAGAGTAAAAGAAGCCGAAGAGGTGTGCCGGCAGAAAAAAGGCAAATCACTCTATAAAATTAAACCAAGACATGACTCTGGAATTGTAAGTATCTAACTTTTCTGTCCTTCAAGCTGTGATTTTCTTTGGCTTTTAAATACCGTTTTAACAATATATACAAACATATAACATTTTAATTATTTTCCAATTAAATTTGAATAAATAATGAGCCTCTAACTTCAAGAATTTCCTCTTCCTGGTGCCTCTAATTAGGCCCAAAAGGCTAACAGTAGTCAGCATTCCGAGCTTAAGAATTAAGATAAATCTACTGAGTGCTTATACATGGGTATGGGTGTGTAGGCAGGATTTGGTGGGTAATCTTTCACATTCTTCATTACACACAATCACAACACAGGGCTGTACCTGAGCCCTGAGTGGTTGTTCTAATTGCATTAGTGCCTTTGGGATCTAAGACACAATGGGAAATGCCAGGTGCAGAGCTGTCCTTTGCTAAGACCAGAGGGCTCAGACCTGGTTTGTACCCATACATGGCTGTACACAGTTGGCTGCTTAGTAGCTGTTAGTCAATAAACTGAGTTTAACAAGCTCTCCGAAGTTTCCTCCTTGCCCACTTCTTCCTTAAAAACAAATTGCCAAGTTTTGCTCCCTGGGAGGGAAGAGCTTGGTGAAAATGGCAAGTTTTTCCTCATTATACTGTCAGAGTTTTGTCGCATATTTTGAGGGATCATTACTTGGTGCCACAGAGTAAGTAAATGATATTCTTTTAAATGAAAAGTTGGGTTAGGCTTTAAAATAGGAGAATTTTGAATTGCATTAGTCTAACATAGAATGGAAAAAGAATTAAAACAACCCAAACTTTATATGATTAAATAGCTATCTTTTTAAAAAGTTATGAATTATGACCTCAGTTCAGAGCTGTTTTCCCATCAAAAGTCCTGGACTGGATGGCTTTGCAGGTGAATTTTACCAAACATTCAAAGAAGAACTAACACCCATCCTTCTCAAACTATTCCAAAGAATTCAAGAGGAGGAAAAGCTCCCAAGCTTATTTTATGAGGCCACCATTGTCCTGATTCCAAAAACCAGACAGACATGACAGACATTATAAAAAAAAAAATTATTGGCCAATATCCCTGATAAACATATATGTAAAATCCTCAACAAAATACAAGGAAACTGAATTCAACAATACATTAAAAATATCGTACACCATGATCTAATGGGATTTACTCCTGGGATGCAAGATTGGTACAAAATTCACAAATCAATGAACATGATACACAACATAAGCAAAATGAAAGTTTAAAATCATATATCAATAGAAACAGAAAAAGCATTTGACAAAATCCAACATTCATTTATGACAAAAACTCTCAACACAGTGGGAATAGAAAGAACATACCTCAACATGAAAAAGCCATATATGACAAACCCACAGATAACATCATCCTTAAAGAGGAAAAGCTAATAGCATTTCCTTAAGATCAAAAACAAGACAGAGCTTTCCACCTTTACCACTTTTATTCAATATTGTATTAGAAGTCCTAGTCAGATCAATTAGACAAAAAAAGAAATAAAAGGTATCCAAATTGGAAAGGAAGAAGTAAAACAGAGATTACTTGCAGATGGCATGATGCCATAAAGAACCCTAAAGATTCCACCAAAACAACCACTAGAAGTGAAAAAGGAGTTCAGTAATGTAGCAGGATATAAAATTAATATTCAGAAATTAATTGCATTTTTATACACCAAGAGTGAAATATCAGAAAGAGAAATTAAGAAAACAATTCCATTTACAATTGCATCCAAAAAATACCTAGGAATAAATTTAACCAAGGCTATAAAAGACCTATATACAGAAAATTTAAAAATATTAAAGTAAGAAATTGAAGAAGCTACAAATCAATGGAAGCATGCATTATGATCATGGTTAGGAAGAATTAACATTGTTAAAATGTTCTTACTACCCAAAGCAATTTATAGATTCAGTGCAATTCTTATCAAAATACCAGTGGCATTTTTCATAGAATTAAAAGAAATAATTTTAAAATTTATATGGAACCACAAAAGAGCCTGCATAGCTACAGCAATCTTGAGAAAGATGAACAAAATTAGAAGTATTATACTACCCAATATCAAATTATATTACAGGGCTATGATAATCAAAACAACATGGCACTGATATAAAAACAGATCTATAAATCAATGGAACACAATAGAGAGCTGAGAAATAAACTCACACCTATATTATCGATGAATCCATAATGAAGGAGGCAAGAATATATAATAGTGTAAAGAGAGTCTCTTCAATAAATGGTGTTGGGGAAAATGGAGAGATACATGGGGAAAAAATGAAAATAGACCACCTTCTTACACCATGTACAAGAATACAGTCAAAATGGATTAAAAACTTAAATGTAAGACTTGAAACCATAAAAATCCTAGCTAAAACATAGGAAGTGAAATGTCTGATGTTTCCCTTAACAATATTTCTTTTCTGATATCTCTCCTTGGGCAAGGGAAACAAAAGAAAAAATAAGTGGGACTATATCAAACTAAAAAGTTTTTGCACAGCAAAGGAAACCATCAATAAAATGAAAAGGCAACCTGCTGAATGGGAGAGGATATTCACCACTGATACGTCTGATAAGGGGTTAATATGCAAAATTTATAAAAATATCATACAGCTCAATGCCACCAAAACAAACAATGTAATGAAAAAATAGGCAGAGGACCTGAATAGACATTTCTGCAGAAAGGACATACAGATGACCAATAGACATATAAAAAGATGATCAGTGTCACTGACCATCGGAGGAATGAAAATTAAAGCCACAGGGAGACATCACCTGACACCTGTGAGGATGGCTGTCATCAATAAACCAACAGACAGTAAGTATTGGCAAGGACGTGGAGAAAAGGGAACCCTCGTGCACTGCTCTTGGAATTGCAAATTAGTGCAGTCACTGTGGAAAACAGTACGGAAGTTTCTCAAAAATTAAAAATAGAACTATCTTATTCCCCAGCAATACCAGTTCTGGGTATATAACCAAAGAAACCTGAAACACTAATTTGAAAAATATGTGCACCCCTATGTTCACTGCAGCATTATTTGCAATGGCCAAGATACGGAAGCAACCCAAGAGCCCACTCAATAGACAAGTGCATAAAAAATGTGCAGTGCATATATACAATGGAATATTGCTCAGCCATTAAAATAAATGAAATCTTACCACTGACAACAACATGAATGGACCTAGAGTGTGTTATGCTAAGTGAAATAAGTGAGAGAGACATAAATAACATATGATTTCACTTATATGTAGAATCTAAAGAACAAAATAAGTGAACAAACAAAACAGACTCATAGACACAGAGACCAAACTGTAGGTTGCCAGGTGGAAGGAGGGTTGAGGAGCTGGGTGAAAAAGGAGAGGGAGTTAAGAAGCACAAACTGGCAGTTACAAAATACTCCCAGGGATGTAAAGTACAGCATAGGAAATATAGGTAATAACATTGCAATAACTATGTATATTGCCAAGTGGGTCCTGGAAATATTAGAGGCATCACTTTGTAAGTTACATGATTGTCTAACCGCTATCCTGTGCACCTGAAACTAATACAAAATAATATTGAATGTTAACTGTGATTGAAAAATAAAATTTTAAAAAGACAGGATGGCACAACAATGAGTGCCTTGAACTGTTCGTTAAGCACAATAACTAGCTAGCTACCTAAATAAATAAATACCCAAAGGCAAAAAATTTAAAACATAACAGCAGTTTCCCTTTCAGTTCTTCTGTGTCAAAACTATTCCTAACTAATGACAAGTATTATATTATGGTATACTTTGTTTTCTGTCTTTTTTATTACAGTACAAATTTAAAATGTATTGATTAAAGGGGAATAATTATTTTAACTGTTAACCTCAATTATGCCGATATAAGGATAGAAGTGAAACAGCAATTCAATTTTTATATTGATGTATTTGTACATAAAACCGAGAATGAGAGAGTGCAGTTGGCACTCTTTCGCATCAGTTAGAAACTAAATTGTATAAAAACTTCTTTTCCCCCTCAAATATTTAGTGGTTTGTCTTGGGGAAAATTCTAAAAGATGAAATATAGTCGACTTATATATTTTTTTCTTTCTGGGCTGGTTGATCTTTAACCTTTCCCAGAGAATTGGATCCAAATGAAAACGTCTTATTTGAGCTCCTCTAAACTCCATACATTTTTTAACTTCGTGTTTCTAACTATAACTCTTATCTGGTGCATTTATTTTCAGAAAGCAAAGATAAGCATGAAAACCTGAACAAAGAAAAGCAGATGAACATGAGTCACTCTCTTAACCGCTCCCAACTCATTCCGCTGACCTGAAGGCGGGAAGGAAACTACATCATTTTGATCATTTTTCTTCTTGACCTCTTGCATAATCTTTGCGTTTTCTAGACAGTTCACTGATGGTTGAGTTCTACTGTACATTCATATTAAAATGCAAAAGCAGTAGATCAGTGGAGAATTGGACACCTTTTCTTTTTGTAAAAGTTTATGGTATTATACCGATAGACCGAAACGGCATGTTATAAGAGGCAGTATCTGCGTTAATTCTGAACATGCTACACATTAACCTAAAATTTACTCTTGTGAGGATATTCCATATACAGCAAAATTCTTTCCTTTCTACTGACAACCAGTACTCCACATCACTGCAGTTAGATTGATGGTTAAAATGTTATTTCTAGTGAATTCTGTCCGTTTCACATCTACGTATACATTTTCTATTCTCAAATTTAAGTACTATTTCTATGTCATTATTGAGGCTTTCCCGACTTTTTGAGTTGCTCTCCATAAATATATATTTGTGAAAGAGATTGTAATTTTTTTAACTTGTCAGATAATGAGCTGAAAAAAAATATAGAGCAGAAGAAAGCCCCTTTCCTATGAATCGTGTAATATAGGCAGAAATCAGAGTTCTGTTTATTGAGGGTTTTTATCGGAGGGTTATTGGAGACCCTACATGAAACTAATCTGTAGCAGAAGGAAGTAAACCGAAGGTGCACTTCTTACTTTTGACATAACTGGGCTTGTCTCTATGTGTTACAGCAGGTGATCAAAAGCTGCAAAGTGAGTATGCAATTATCTGAAGGAGCAAGGAAAGAATTTTATTTTATGTTGTGGGGGGAAAAAATTAAATCTCCTGCTCTTCTGAGAATACTTCAGGTCTGCCGATGATGCATTGTGATGGTTATATCTAACATTAATAGGTGTGGTTTTTAAAGACTAATGATATTTGTTGGGAGTTATGGTTGTAGATAAAGAGGAGAATTTATTGCAAACCAACTATGGAAAGCAACTTAAAAAGAGAATGTCCTGACCCATAACTATGTTTGTATTTATGTAAAGTATGGTCACTTACCTTTTAGTTTGTCATTAAAGTGCAAAGAAACAGTGGTTTTTTGATTGTAGTTTTGTAGTCTTCCTGTCTTCATCACTCCCTCCAATGTGTATATTAATATTCTTCAATGAAAATATAGGGCATTTAACAAAGATCGCTATGTGCAATACTGTATTTAGTGTTTCTATTTCAATTTTTTAGGATGTTAATTTATATGAAAATAAAATGAGTAATAAAAGAGTTCTGTTTCCACTGTGTGCATGTTGCCTAAGGATCCTTGCAAAATGAATCCATCATATTTAAAACTGGGAGGAAAATAAGGGAGACTGTCTGTATTTGAAGATTTTTAAACATTTTTATTTCAGGTTTCACAGTTGTTAGTAGTTAAGTATTTGATGAACGCTTGTTTTTAGAGATAAAATAATTATTCTGCTACATCAAAACATATTTTGAGAAAGGTTGACATTTTCCTAATGTAATTTTAAGAAAAAAATATTTTCCACTTATGAACAACAACATATTAATGTTTGAGAAATCTTTTAGAAATTAGATGGAAAAATGTGTTTGATACAGATTAAGAGGTGAAGCGCTATTGCAAGAGAAGACAAAGGAACGATTATGGTGCCAACAGATGGATCTGTATCCACAATGTGTGCTGAAAACTAAGCGTGATGCTAAGGTAGAAACATGAAAAGTTGGGGTTTTTTTCATAAATAAGCTTTGCATTTATGTCTATTCTAATTTTTTAATGTAATATAAAAAATAATCACTTTTTTCACCACCTGCATATGCCTTGGCTTACCATCTACTTTATGCCATGAGATAATAATGCTAATAACTGCGTATTTACACAGGAAAGGAACTAAATGTTATCAAAGAACTTAATATCAAGTTGGGGTTAAAAAGAGTGTAAAGCAACAATTACATTGCATTGTAACATCCAATTCAGAAAGTATAAAAAGATAAATCTCGAGAGATTGACAGGAGTTAGGCAAGGGAAGGGAAGGAAGAGAAATCACAAATGGAAACACAGTCCTCAAATGCCCAAAGAAAGCATCATTTCGTGTAGGAGTTGTATGTAACTAGTTCAGAGTAGATGGAGGAAGCGGAGCATAAAGGGGAAAGAATGGAGAAAGATGTTGCTTGGAGACACAGAAAGGGAATTTGTGGTAGGAAGTAATGTCATTTTTATTTTAATTTGGGGTCAGGAGCACCTCGGAGCCACCATTACTCAGAGTCGAGCTGTGGGACAGCAGCATCGGCCACCTGCGAGTTTGTTCCAAGCACAGTCTTAAAATTTGTTTTCCAAATGTTTTGGTGGGCAGGGGGTGATGCCGTGTTTCCAAGAGAGGTAGCAGGGTGAGAGACAGCATTGAAAACCGAGATGCAAAATAGCCTGCGTGCCTGCTGAAGAATGAACTCTATATACATATGAGGAGGTGGGATATAAGGCAGAGCAAGCGGTGATGACAAACGATCAGCGACTCGATCCTTGAGGACTTTATCATTAAGAAATTTTATGCAGTAGCTGGTGAAGGTGATAGATCATTTGAAATTCTAACGTGACCTATTTTGTTTTATTTGCTAAAGCCCACGTGGAGGGGGATAGAGTGGAGGAGTGTGAGTCTGGACGCCAGAAGAGCTTTGAAGAGTCTATTATAGTTCAAAAGAAGAAATGGGAATTATGTAAGGCATGGCTAGCACAGATGGGAACTTGGAGCTGAAGAACAGATATGCTAAGGAGGTAAAATACATCAGGGAAATTCTTGAATCTTTAGATGTGAGAAACAAGAAAGCAGATTGAATTTCGGATGACAGTATGGTTTCTTGACTAGGTTATTTGGGGAAGAGTGACTCCACGCATTGACAAAGGCAACACAGAGAAAATGCTTCCGTCACTTTCTTTTTTAAATAGGTATCAGTGCTTCAGAGAAGCCTTTTCTGAGAAGCCTACCAAGAAAAGCAACCACCAAGTCTTCATCCCTTTAATCAGCTTCATTTCCTTCATAGCACTTAGCAGTATCTTCTGTAGTTTCATGGTTATTAGTCTATAGTCTGTCACCAACTCAAATTTAAATCCGGAAAGACATTTTTGCACTGCTATTAAATGTGTAATATTAGAAGCAGTATGGGACACTCAATAAAGATCTGTTAATTGAGTGAATAAATAAATGAAAGGGAAAGAAAGAAAAAGGTCAGGAGTTAAAGGGAATGAAAAATCCACAATATGCACTGAATATCCAGTTGGATATTTCTAGTAAATGGAGGATACTGATCAAGAATTCATGAAAGAGGTTCAGTTCTGGGAATTTGATGTAAGAGCCACCTGCATTCAGGGGGTAGTTGAAATCAAGGAAGTTTCCAAAATTCCTCAGGAAAGCAGGAATCCATTTTTAAAAATGAAACCAAAACACTAAACACAGTTGGGTTGAAACCAACATTTAAAAGAGAAACAGAAATGGAGAGGTCACAAAAGAAACCTCAGGAAGATGAACCAGCAAATTAAAAGCTGGTGCCCTGGCTGGTGTGGTTCAGTGGACTGAGTGCCGGCCTGCAAACCAAAGGGTTGTCAGTTCGATTCCCAGTCAGGGCACATGCCCGGGTTGCAGGCCAGGTCCCCAGTAGGGGATACACAAGAGGCAACCACACACTAATGTTTCTCTCCGTCTCTTTCTCCCTCCTTTTCCCTCTCTAAAAATAAGTAATCTTTACTTTTAAAAAAGCTTTGTTCACAACTAAGATTATAGAGGTCAAAATAAACAGCATCTCAAAAGAATCTGCACTAACACCTTCTAATTGCTCTTCAAATACACTATTATTGTAAATAATAAGCTTACAAAATATACGTAGTGACTTAACTTGTTTAGCCTTCTATTTAAAATTCTGCCTAAGGGAAGCAGTGTAGAAAAGAGGTTTAAAACATGAGTTCTGGAGTTTCACTCCTGGTGTGGCTGAGTAAGCTTCTAACAGACCGGCCTCCCCACAAATAATAACTATACACTATGAACAATAAAAAAGCAACTACTTGGAGGTTCTAAAGAGGGAGCGTGAAAAACGTAGGCAGAATCTCAGGTGAGAAGGAGTTGAACAAGACAAGAACAGTCTAGGGGCTGAGGGCAGCCTTTAGCAATGGTGCTGCAGTTGACAGCTAACATCCCCAAACCAGTGGTCTTCTTGGTCAGAAGACTGAGGGACAACACCTCCAAAGTCATAGGAGAGGAGAGACCCTGTCAACCAGAATGCTATGCCCCATGAAAATACACCTCTAGAATAAAGGTAGAAAGACACTTGCATGTATGAGAAGACTGTGAGAAATTGTTACCAGCAGACCTATACTACAAGAATGTTAACGTTCACAGCCCTCTTTTAAAATCGAAAAGGCAAGATTATGCTTTGTACACAAACTCTTAAACACAAATCTACATATTCATAAGTATGTATCTATTGATAACAGCTTTAAAATAAATGGAATAAAAATGGACAGAATTAAGGAAGGAATAATTCGGTCATCACAGCCAGAGGTTTTAACACTCCTTTCCCATCAACTAGTAGAACAACTAGAGAACCAAGCAGGGAGGGGAAAAAGAAAGGGAGGAGGGAGAGAAGACTCTCTCTGCAGGGTCATGGGAACCAATCACGCCCCATTTGTTAGGGAAACCAAACCAAGTTCCCTACCAGAGATATGAGACTAGCATGGGGCTTACCTGCCAGCGAGAGTCAACCAATAGAGAGTAGCTCCAGGGGCTGGCATAGATGTGCAAACACGCAGCGTCTGGTGGCAGGAGAAAGCAGAGAAAGCTCAGCGGAGCAAACAGTCCATTCCACACCTGCAATATCGCCAGTGTCACCACCGCTTGAGAGCCTGGTGCCCCCAAAAAAGCCTGGTTCTGGACTGACTGGGAATGGGTGAAAACAACAGAAAATGAGTAGATATAGAAAGATAAGGTGAAAAAGCATGTCCGCCCTCTCAAGACAGGGCTGCAAAACACAATTCCCAAAGCACATGGGGGAAAAAATGGTCAAAAAGAAAAAATAAGTGAACTCAAAAAATGAAAATGAAGCCATCTCTAAAAATAGGGCAAAATTTAAATGATTAATAGTATTTGAAACCTGTACAAAAAGCTGTGTAATTATTGAAATAGGAAAAATTGTATAAGCATGTAATTCTAGATAGACACATTAAAAGACAATGATTTGGAAGATAATGCTAAGGAGTTCACTGAGATCATGTTACAGAGAGAAAATGTTTTAAAATGTGTAAAAGATGCTAAAAGAAATACAATGGACTGAAAGACTCCAATTTGAGAGGCATCTTATAACAATGAACTAAATGAAATGGTGGAGAAGAATGAGAATTGCTTGAAGAAACTGGCTGAGAATTTCTAGAATTAAAGAAAGCCATGAATCCTCTGCTTGAAAATGTATAACCAGTGCCAGGCCAGATAAATACCAATAAATTTGTACCTAGAAAAGTCAAAGTGAATCTCTAGCCAGGGAAAGACAAACTCCCAAAACCCCAGAAAAAAAGGACCCATAGCCTACAAATGGAATAATAATGATACTGAAATCAGATTTGTCTTTAGCAACAATATGTCAGCAAATAGCAAGCAAGTAGTAGCTTCAGAGTGTGTAAGAAAAACCAGTGAATCAAGACCATTACACTGGTTGAAGTATCATTCACATAGAAAGGAGATATATATGTTCAGACATAACTAGAA